GAGCACACTAACAACTAACTCTTTTGTTCACTCGCTGCTGTGCGATCGAGACTTTCCCGCTGACGACTGATATTACCCTTTTCTCTTGCCCGAGTGCATTTGAGACCAGACCGTAGTTTTAGGTTCCCGAACCTTTAGAACCAGTTTGATTTCTCACTGCTGTGTGAGAACGCCCAGTTTAGCCGTAGTTAGTCGAACTACGTTTGCTCTGATCTTCCATGCAGTGTGGAAGTACGTAGGCACAGGACGCGATGTCCTGGCGAGCAACCTTTCCCCCGTCTAGACGTAGGTAGTCGAACTACGTTGACTCTGACTTTCCCATTGCACGAGGGAGTACGTAGGCCCAGAACACCGTATGTTCTGTCGAGTCCTGTCCTTTTCTTTTCTTTTCAGACTGACCATTAGCGTAGATAGATAAACACACCCTTTTCCTTATAAACACTAAGCGTGGATCCCGTCGAGTACGACGGACGTGAGGGGTGCTAATACCTTCCCCTTGCGTAACCGACTCCCGAATCCAGGTTTTGGTTGCGATGACCATACCTTTTCCCGTGTTTTGCGAGGTTTACTTCGAGTGTTTCCTTTCCCTCCGTTGGGATAAATAACGCACGGTGGCGACTCTTCTGTATTGTCGGCGCCGATTTTCGCAGTAGCGACACCAGGTCACAAGAGGTGTATCACCATTCGAGATGTAGTTTTCAATGAAGCAGAGATGGCTTTCAAGAAAAATGATGATGCTGACGAAGAGCTGGAACAGGGAGAGATTCCTGTTGAGGTGAAGCATGTTGATGCTGAATTACTTACCCCAGATGAAGTCGAAGAAGACGCATAAGATGTTGTCGAAGATGAGGAGACTCATAATGACTACCTGTTAGTAAGAGACAGGTTGAGGAGAGTCATCAAGCCACCTCAGAGACTTGGGTATGCAGATCTTATAGCTTATGCCTTAATCTCTTCTAGTGAGGTTCTAGATGAAGAACTTATAGACTATAAGGAAGTTACGAGGAGTCGAAAGAAGACTGAATGGCTGAAAGCCATGGATGATGAGATGAAATCTCTTCATGATAACAACACCTGGGAACTGATCAAGAAACCTGTTGGAGCCAGGTTAGTCAGCTGTAAATGGATTTTCAAAGTTAAGGAAGGAATCGAAGGAGTGACGTCGAAGAGATACAAGGCAAGATTGGTTGCTAGGGGGTTCACTCAGAAAGAAGGTATCGACTTCAATGATGTGTTCTCTCCTGTTGTGAAGCACATATCCATTCGAATGTTGCTTCCCATGGTGGCCCATTTCGACCTTGAACTAGAACAGATGGATGTGAAGACTGCGTTCTTGTATGGTAATATAGATGAAACAATCCTGATGAGGCAACCTGAAGGGTATGTCTAAAGGGGGAAGGAAGATTATGTGTGCAAACTGAATAGATCTTTATATGGACTGAAACAATCTCCTCGACAGTGGAATAAGAGATTCGACAAGTTCATGGCACACATAAGTTTCATCAGAAGCCAGTTCGACCACTGTGTTTACTTCAGATTTCGACCGGGTAATTCATTTGTTATTTTGTTGCTCTATGTGGATGATATTCTAATAGCAAGCAAGAATGTCGGAGAGGTAATGAGGGTGAAGGCTGAATTCAATAAAGAGTTTGACATGAAGGATCTGGGAGCTACGTCCAGGATTCTTGGTATTGACATTCGGAGAGATAGAAAGCAGTCGAAATTATGTTTATCTCAAGAGGCATACCTACAAAAGATTCTCGAAAAGTTTGGTATGTCGAATTCAAAGCCTGTTATGACTCCGACAAACCCTTAATTTAAGCTGAGTATTCCATATGCTATGTTAGTATTCCATATGCTAACATAGTAGGTTCTTTGATGTATGCTATGGTTTGTACTATACCCGACATAGCATATGCAGTAAGTCTTGTAAGCAGGTACATGGAGAATTCTGGAAAGGCTCACTGGCAAGCATTAAAGTGGATTTTAAGGTACATAAATGGGGCTCTGAATAGAGTCCTAATTTATGGTGGAGCCTTGGGTGAAGATAGTAAAGCAGCAATCGAAGAATATGTCGACTCTAATTATGCAGGTTGTATGGATTCTAGAAAATCTATCTCTGGATATGTGTTCACTATGTTTGGAACAACAATCAGTTGGAAAGCAACACTTTAGAAGGTCGTTGCCTTATCAACCACTAAAGCGGAGTATATTGCCCTAACTAAAGCTGTGAAGGAAGCATTGTGGCTTGAAAGTTTTGCAATGGAGCTAAAACTTCAAGGTCGAGTTATCACTGTTAAATGTGATAGTCAAAGTGAAATACACCTGTCGAAGAATTCAGCCTATCATGAGCGAACCAAACACATTGATGTGAGGCTGCATTTCATCAGAGGGGTAATGGAGCGTGGAGAAGTCCAAGTGCTGAAGGTTTCGACAGATCATAATGCTGCTGATATGATCACCAAGATGTTGCCCAGTTGCAAGTTTTTCCACTGTATGCAGTTAATAAAGCTGCATGAAGAAAGCTAGTTTCTTGATGTTATAGAGTTAGATCTAAGGTGGAGATTTGTGAGATGTTGGATCGAACTCTAGTATGGTCGAAGTCTGTTCGCGAGTAATGCGTGTTGTAGTCGAAGTCTGTTCTAACATGCATTAGTCAATATTGCTAGGGTTGTTAGCATGTTGAATTGGGCCTTGCTTGTAAGCCCAATTGTTTAAGTTAGCTTGTACCCTAAGTTGGCTTGTAATGGGTAATTGTTAAAAAGCCCATTAGGTTAGTGTGCTATTTTATTATAAATAGGATGCTAGTTTCTCAATCTTGACATAAGGAAAAATAGGAAGATAAAATCCTAATTTCAAGAGAGAGAGGTTGTTTGTTATTCTTGTATACTTGTAATCTTGTTCTAAGAGAAAAGAAAGAATAGTAGTTTAATAACCAATCCTTGTTGTTTTCTTCTTTATTAACCCTAACCCTTGTGTGTTTCTTGCTAAGAAACTGTTTATACTTTGTTTAAAGGTATCCGATTCACAACATTTTGATTAATGAAAAACTCGTAAATGGTATTTTGGAGGGGGGGGGGGATTTTTTACCTCGGATTTTTGACATAAACTTTGGATGTGGGGATTTGACAATTTTGAAAGATTGTTTGATGACTTGGATTTTATCTAGGTCGAAGTGGTCAGTTACAACTATGGAATCAGATATGCATTTTAGGGAATTCGTCCTGTCGAAGGGTGATGGTAGCCTTGGTCGAACTTTCAAGCAATTAGTTTTAAAGATCAAGGATACACAAGTTTTAGACTTAGTGAAATTTGGGATTTCCAATGTTGATATTACTAACTGCACGTTGTCAAACAAGGTACAAACAAATAATATTAGACGGTTGTCTAATAAAAAGTGTAAAGCTTGCATGGCGTTGGAAACGTGGCACAGTTTGCTGAGTCAACTGTTGTAGGCAGTTACATTAGAACTAGTATGTAAGCAATGCTTGTTTGTAGTTTTAGAGGTCCCCAATTTCACACAAATTCTACAAACTCGAAGTACCCGAGTGTTTAATGAAAAAAAATGATATGAAAATGTATGAATTTGCATTCCACTTCATGAATTAATTTTTTTTTCCAAATAATTTACTGCATTAAAAATTGTTTTTGAGTTTTTTAAATTTTGTTTTTGACTTTTAATGGTAAATGTGTTTCAAACTCATAATTTTTGTACAATCTATTTTGAAATTTTTTCGAGTATAATAATCTCTTAGCTAAAATTAAACTTGTTTTTATTTACTAAATTTGATAATAAATATATATTTAAATCTAATCCCCAAAATTAGCACTTCAACACAGAATTAATGAGAAAATTTAAATGATAAAGATGATCCCAAATGGTGCACTTTTCCCATTTTTGATATACCCACAAATTGAATCCAAAATATAAAAGCTTCTGTTGTTATAAATTCAACAGTATTTTTCTACTAGGTAGCTACTAGTATTAATAATAAGAGTAATCATTCTAATGATAAGAAGTTAGTTCCCTTTTTCCCAGTCCCTGAAATTTCGGAAACGCGTTGTCGACATAAAACTAAAGGGCATTATCGTCTTTCTGCTATCACTCTCCCTGACAGCCTGCGCGCAAATGTTTCCCTTCCCACCTTTTTTATTTTACTGTTAAAACTCTGAACAAACAAAAAAATCCCAAACTCTGAAAAAAAAAGTAATCCTAAAAGTTTAACATGAAAAAAAAAGAATATATTTATTTCCTTCAAAAGCAACAATAATAGTACATCATTAAATCTTATATCACAAAAGCAAAACCATTTCAATATCAATAACAGTCCTACGGAAATCAACTGTTTGGCCTTGAGTGATAAAAAAGTTTCTGATAAAAAAAACGAAGGTTTAAAAAATATCGAATTTGATTTCGGATAGAAATAATATAATCAGATTTATAATCTTTAATGCCAAATTCTGAATTATTAAAACATTTTTCTGTGAAAAAAACATAAAAAAATATATAAAAAAAGAACAATTCACTGCATCAAGATTCAAGATCAACAACCATAATGCTAAATTAAAACCTCTCTTTCTCTCTCTACTACTTGTGCTTCACTCACTACCATGGCTTTCTGGTTTAACCATTACCATTAGATCTTTGATCACTCTAATGTGAGTGAATGAATGTGTTAGTTCAGTTTTAACTTTTCACTTTTCTCTTTTACACCATTTTTCTGCTTTTCTTCTTCACTACGATTCTTTGCTTCCTTTTTAGTATTTCTTTATAGTTTCATTTTCTGTTTTTGTTTTTTCTGCTTTCAGTTTTTCTGGCTGAAAAACAAACACTTGCCACTTGGATCCAACTCAGTGGACAATATTGGTAAAGTTTGTTACTTTAAGCTAATTTTTCAAATGGGTTGCTTCAGTTTTTTTACTTGTGCTTTGTTAATTACTATTTTTTGAATGTGGAGCAGATCTTGGAAGCTACTGGATTTGGTGATCAATTGGTGAAAATGAGATTTTTGGAGTTTGGGTTTGTGTTGTTGATTGTACTATTGGCTTTTCTGGTTTTTGTGAAAGGTGAGATTTACATAGTTACTGTTGAAGGGGAACCTATTATAAGTTATACTGGTGGTATTGATGAGTTTGAAGCTACTGCTGTGGAATCCGATGAGAAGATTGATACTACCAGGTAGTTAGTTTCTGTGTAAATTTAGACACTATAAGAACATGTTAATCGATTTTTGAAGAAGCTTATTCACTTCATGATTGAGTTGATTTTTGTTGTTGGGGAAAATAGTGTTATAATCATTACCTAAGTTTTTTATGTACATAGAATTAATGTGTTTTTTCTGTTTTAGTATATAATGAATCAAGAAATGGATTTTGGCAAATGTGGTAACTTAACTTTTATACTATTTTTGAACTTTTTCCAGTGAATTAGTTACTTCATATGGTCGTCATCTTGAGAAACGACATGATATGCTTCTAGGGATGTTGTTTGAGCAAGGAACATATAAGAAACTCTATAGTTATCGGCATCTTATAAACGGGTTTGCTGTCCATATTTCACCGGAACAGGTGAAGTTTTCTGTTGTTAGTTATCTTTTTAGTATTGTGTGGTTAACGTTACGCTTCTTCAATCTAATTTCCTTATGGTGTCGTCTTATATTAGTAGGCAGAAACTCTACGACGTGCTCCTGGAGTGAAATCAGTTGATAGGGACTGGAAAGTGAAGAGACTCACAACACATACGCCGCAATTTTTAGGGCTTCCAACTGGGGTATGGCCGACTGGAGGTGGCTTTGATAGAGCTGGAGAAGATATTGTGATTGGATTTGTGGACTCGGGGATTTTTCCTCATCACCCGAGCTTCGCAACTCATAATACTGAACCGTATGAGCCAGTTCCAAGGTATAGAGGAAAATGTGAAGTTGATCCAGATACTAAAAGAAGTTTTTGCAATGGGAAGATTGTTGGAGCACAACATTTTGCACAAGCTGCTATAGCTTCTGGATCATTCAACCCTTCAATTGATTTTGCTTCTCCTTTAGATGGGGATGGACATGGCAGGTTAGAGCAAGTCATTAGAACTTAGAGTCTGTTTGTTGGACTTATTTGAGCTTATCTACTGACATAAATACTTCTGAGATTGTTTGAGAAAGCTTATGGAAACAACTTATAACAATCCTCCTATTTTCCTTTCTCTGGCAGTCATACAGCTTCTATTGCAGCAGGAAATAATGGAATTCCTGTGAGGATGCATGGCCATGAATTTGGGAAAGCAAGCGGCATGGCTCCTCGTGCAAGGTGAGAACTTATACCCTTGATTGATAAACAATTCGGAACTACAGACCTTTCTGTTGCGTTATATATCTGGTGCATTTATGTTCAGGATTGCTGTATACAAGGCACTCTATAGACTCTTTGGTGGGTTTGTTGCAGATGTAGTTGCTGCAATTGATCAGGTATGCAAGTATATGATATATTTCCGCAATCTCATTGTTTTTGCTATTAGCATTCTATCTCAAAATATCTAATTTTTTATATTTGAGACAACAGGCTGTATATGATGGAGTGGATATACTCAGTCTTTCAGTTGGACCAAACAGTCCTCCAGCAGCCGCCAAAACTACATTTTTGAACCCATTTGATGCAACACTTCTTGGAGCTGTGAAAGCTGGTGTATTTGTGGCACAGGCTGCTGGAAATGGCGGTCCTTTCCCCAAGACAATGGTTTCATATAGTCCATGGATAGCAACTGTTGCAGCTGCAATTGATGATCGTAGATACAAAAACCATTTAACGCTTGGAAATGGAAATATCTTAGCTGGAGTCGGGTTATCTCGTAAGTTTTCCAACTTCCTACTATGTTTCTTCTAATATAGTTTATATACAGATTTTTATGTCACTATTTTTATGTTTCTATAATATGCATAATGGCTTGTTGTACAGCTTCTACACATTTAAACCAAACATACACATTGGTTGCTGCAAACGATGTGCTGCTAGATTCTTCAGTTATGAAGTACAGCCCCACAGATTGCCAGAGACCGGAAGTTTTTAACAAGAAATTGATAGAGGGAAATATTCTTCTCTGTGGATATTCTTTCAACTTTGTTGTTGGTACTTCGTCGATCAAGAAAGTATCAGAAACAGCGAAGTCACTTGGTGCTGCTGGATTTGTTCTCTGTGTTGAAAATGTTTCCCCTGGAGCTAAATTTGATCCTGTCCCTGTTGGCCTTCCCGGGATTCTTATCTCAGATATCAGCAATTCAAAGGTACTCAGATTCATCCTTACCGATATATTTATTCATTGGTAAATTGAATATCACAAAAGCTTAATCTGTTTTTTCTTAGCCCATAATTCCATAATCACCTACTTGTCTTAGCCACCATTGTTTTACCTCTCCTTGTTCTACTTTTTCATTGTTTTGTAATGCAAATGTTTATATTTTCAGAAACTTATAGACTATTATAATATCTCGACACCAAGAGACTGGACCGGACGAGTGAAGAGCTTCAAAGGATTAGGTAAAATCGGTGACGGTTTGATGCCTATTCTACATAAATCTGCACCGCAGGTGGCATTATTCTCTGCTAGAGGGCCAAATATAAAGGACTTCAGCTTCAACGAGGCAGATCTTCTCAAACCAGATATATTAGCTCCCGGTTCATTGATTTGGGCTGCTTGGAGTCCAAATGGAACTGATGAGGCAAATTATGTTGGTAAGTAATAGCTTCACTAAGCTGTAACTTCATTGTAGTTGCTGCGTGAAACATTTAAGCGATTATTTGCTTGTGCAGGTGAAGGATTTGCGATGATATCTGGAACTAGCATGTCTGCACCACATATAGCTGGAATTGCTGCTCTCATAAAGCAGAAGCATCCACATTGGAGCCCTGCTGCAATTAAATCAGCCTTGATGACAACATCAACAACTCTAGACAGAGCAGGGAATCCTCTTCTAGCACAACAAACTTCCGAAACAGAAGCTATTAAATTTGTCAAAGCTACACCTTTTGATTATGGGAGTGGACATGTTGATCCAACAGCTGCGTTGGATCCTGGCCTTATCTTTGACGCAGGTCTCATTTCTTCTTCAATATATAAACACTTTCTCGTTCTTAGAACATCTATAAAAATACACGAATAAGTACTTTATCTCATTATTTTGGTTATTCGTTTTGGCAGGATACGAGGATTATCTAGGCTTCTTATGCACAACACCCGGTATCGATGTCCACGAGATAAGGAACTACACCCATGTTCCATGCAACAGTACTATGGGCAAGCCATCCAATTTAAACACTCCATCAATCACAATTTCCCATCTCGTCGGAACTCAAGATGTCCACCGCACTGTAACCAATGTCGCTGAGGAAGAAACCTATGTGATCACAGCTAGAATGGAACCAGCAGTTGCCATTGAAGTAAACCCTCCTGCAATGACTGTCAACGCAGGCGCGTCACGTCAGTTTACAGTGACACTGACGTCTCGCTCTGTGACAGGAAGTTATAGTTTTGGAGAGGTTTTACTGAAAGGAAGCAGAGGGCATAAAGTGAGGATCCCTGTGGTGGCTAAAGGGTTCCAACGATAGAACTTGTTTGGTTTGTTAACAAAGGTTTGTAATGTAATATTCTTTGTATGTTATGGGGAATAAGTTAAGATATGGCGCTAGTTTTGTTCATCCAAAAATTATAGTATAATATATATGACATTGAATTATAAATAGTAAGAGGGGTGAAGGGTAGTTTCTTGCATTCCACGTATAAAGTTTTGGTTGTATTATTGTCTAGTGATTTGTTAAATGCTTCTTTACGAGAAGTTTTTACTTGTATCTGTCCCCATTCAACAACAGTTACTTGGTTACAGCATGTAGTATAATGAATACATGAAATAATTACTACATCTATTATATTATCTATTAATTGATTGCATAATGTTAATCCAAATGGTAAAACTCTATAAGAATTTAGTGGAACAAGTCAATACTTTGATATAGAGATGAATTTAAATTTTTTTAAGTTACATTGTTAGAAAAATAAGTCTCACGTTCCTTATATTACATATCTTCTCTAGACAATTTCATTATATAAGGAATACAGACGTTTTATTTCATGAATTTTTCCTTCTTCACTCTTTTAAATATATATTTTTTCCAATGTGCCAACTTCTCTCTCTTTTTTAATGAATTTTTAAGTATTTTCTTGAAATTTTTTTTAGAGATTTATTTGAATTTTTTTTTATTTGAGATGAGAAATTACAATTTTTTTTAGATTCTCTTTAGAGAATTATTTGAATTTTAAAATTATTGAGTGATTAAACGATAATTATTAAATTCTCTTTGAATAAATATTTGAATTTCTCTAGTTTAAGAGAGCAACCTAGTCCGCGACTCGACTCGATAATTTCTTCAGTGATAATTTTTCAAAACCGTAAAACAGTTTTAAGACGTTTTCAAACTGTCATAACTACCGAAGAAATTATTGGTATTTCTACAACTCCTATCTCTGAAAAACCGTTTAAGTTTGAGAGAAGTCACTTCAAGCGTTTGACCGAAGACATTTCTATTGATAATTCTGGATCAACCGAGCAAACTAATGAAAAGAAATTTAAGAATTTAGATAGAACTATTAATTATACTAAAACTAAATATGATGCACATATTAAAGCGAACAATTTACATCTCTGGAAAGAAATCGCTATATGGAAAGAGAATGACTATCTCTACAAAAATCACATTTTGAATGAACTCGCAGATGATACATATAATTATTAATGTAACTGAAATACTGCAAAAAAAGTTTGGGAGGTTCTGAAAAAAGAAGTATGACATAGAAGAAGTCGAAGCAAAGATGTATGTCATTAGCTACTACCTCAAGTATTAGATGGTAGATGAAAGTTCCACATAAATTTGTTGGGTGTGAATATGAAAGTAGAAAAAAAGTCTAGAGGGGACTGAATAGACCCAAATTAAAAAATTAACTGTCGTTTTCCAAAATCAGAGTATTTTTAAAATGAGTTGCTCAGAAGGTTTGAAGTGAAAATGAAAATTATACAATCGATTATGATCAAGCAAACACACATTTCATTTCACAAATATCCAAGAATGTACATAATTAAACGTTTGATATGAATTGATTCAAGTTGTATAGTCACAAGAAGTGTATACAATTGATTTAATGTGGATTACTAAATTCAATTTGTTTTCAGATTTATCAATCACAATACTAGCTTGACTAGTTGTCCAATTCCAAAAAAAAATACTAAGCTTTACGTAATTAATCGTTATCAACAACAAAACGATATAATACGACGGAATTGAAAAACCTAGCATGCAATCACTATGAAATATAAATGCAAGAGTAGAGTTAGAGAGATGACACCGAGATTTACAATACTTCGGCGTTCGTCCTCGTTTAACCTATATGCACTCTTCAACGGTTATCTATTGAAACCTGCATAGTTCCTTGTTAATTGACAAATATTTTCAAGAGTTCATACAATAACCAATCCACAATTTACAACTGAGAAAATAAATTTCCTAATTTAGATCTTGACTTGTATCTAACAAACTTGTCAAACTCTTCTACATAATCATTACTCGAATACGTTTCTTGAACCTTCCAATAACACCAATTTTTCTTTAAGCATTCATGTGTAGCTATCAACCCCTTGATCCTACTGATTTCTTGAGAGGTGATATTGTCCGAGGATCTGAAAAGAACTTCGTCCTATCTATAGTCTTCCACACAGTTACTACTAAGGCAATGCTGGAGAGAAGAACCTACTTCTTTTCAATAAAAAATTTCACCACCGTTGACAATCCCTCTTTCTTGCTAACAACCTGAAAACTCAACAAGATCTCCAAGAACAGTTAGTTTCAAGTACGCGACTCCTTCAATCAATCTCAAAAATCTCGTTATCAAGATCCAAATTAATTGAAATTAAAGATATGAGAAATTTGTAGCAAGAATTTGAACACTCAAAATAAAGGAAATTAATTTTTACACAAAATCACACTGAAAAATCTTAACAGAATGTTATATGTGTTGTTTGAATGATGACAGGAAATGATGACAGGAAATGAATTATACGTGCTTGAGATGAAACACACAAAATGGTTGAAAAAAGGTAGTTAGATTTGAATCAAGAAACACCCAAATTTTGAAAAATATGCTAGTTGATTCGAATCAAGGAATACGTGATTTGGATCACAAGCCTTCTAATTCGAATCAAGAACAAAAAATAATTTTAATCAAATCGCCAAAAACTGACAGGATTTTTGGACAAAATAATTTGACTCAGATCATGTTGAAAGTTTGATTCGAATCAAGTCAAACATAATCAAACATGATTTATGAAAAATAAAATTGATTCGAATCATGCACAAATTTTGATTCGAATCAAATCAGACAAAATCTATTTCTAGAAAAGTGATCAGGATCAAGTGAAAAATCTGACTAGGATCAAATTGCTGAGTTGAGCTAATGTCCAATTTTATTAGAATCACGAATCCAGTGTAAAACTGTCTAATTTGAATCAATCTTGTAAAATCTCAGGTCTTCAAATCTTCAAAAGCTTTTTGAGATTTTATCTTGAATCAAATTTGTTCAAAAACACAAAGGGATTTTATTTCACTATCATATACTATTGATCAAATAGCATTAAAACCAAAATCAAATCTAACTAAAGTTGTATGCATGCTAAACATCAGAAATGCAATTATGAAGGAGACTCAACAAATCGAAACAAAGACATAGATGAAAGCGATAAGGCAAGCAACAAAATAATCAGATAGTAGAAATATTCAACTACAAAGGTTAATCTCACGAACTTCAAAAAATAGCTCACGAGATCATCAATGGAGGTATGAATTTAGATGAACAATTTTAAATTGCTTTTATAAATGACTAAATACCTCTAGTTTGATAGTTTTTTGAAATTTTGTTTTATCACAAAATAAAAGAATTTTCAATTGAGAGTCTGATTATTGACCTTTTAGTTGAAGAAGAATCTCAGAAACAAGATCAAAAAGAAAAGTATTGGTTGTTCTAAACAACAAAAAGAAATTCAGTGCGGTTCTGAAACCATTTGACAAACCATTAAAAAAACAGATTTACAATATTGTAAACCGAATTAAGAATAAGAACCATTCAATTGCTCCAATTTCTAAGCAACAATCACCACCTCAAAGAAATGACACTGAAACTTTTTCCGTTTCAACTTTGAAAAACCTGATCATACGACTAAGAAATATAAGAGCATGCCTAAACCTGATGTTGTCCCTAATGCACATGTTAACCAAAATGATAAGAAATTTATTGTTATGATCACTAAAATCAACATGATTGATGGATCTAATGGTTGGTGGATAAACATTGGCTCCTCTCGGCAATGTTCAAAACATACGCGAATACTGGAAAAAAAATTGTTATTGAGAGTTGCTCACACCACTAATATTGCAAGTATTGGAGAAGTGGAGTTGAATACCACCTCCAAAAATACTTTAATCTTAAAGGATGTCATGCATACTCATGGGATTATAAAGAATCTTGTTTATGTTTCTTCTATATAAGGAAGAGTTTAGTCAGTCTAATGAGATAAATTTGTGCACCATCACTAAAAATGATATTTTTTGTGAATAAAAATTGACATATTAAGAATTTAGTGAATAAAATTAAAAATCAATTTTGTAAAAAATTTAAGAAGTTTCGTAGTGATAGAAGAACTTATTATGATTCTAGTTTATTTAATAAACTAGATGAAGACCCGTGTGATGCGCGGTTGTAAATTAATTTATTAGTTTATTATTAAATTTTAAATATATTAAAAATTTGTTTTGACAAAATATAATTAATAAATTTATATTACAATAATTTATTGTAAATTATAATTGAGACAATAATATGAATTAATAACATCTAAAATGATATATTTTAATACAAAAGGAAAATACATTCTTGTAAACTAAGATTGACATTGTTTAATTTTGATTCTCATATATTTTTGAATACTTATCTTTGATTTAGATATTTAATGTTAAGTTGTTAAAAATATGTATTAGTTTTTAGTGTTAAATAAAATTAAAATTTTATATGTATTTATTATCAAAATTTAGTTATCTCATGAATAAGGGTTAAAAATGCTATTTGCTATATTAACTTAATTGTGTTATTAATTAATTATTTTATTTTTTATTAATTGGAAGAAAAAATTTATTTGATTTTGTCATTGATATCACTTGAACTATGAGTGTTCTTTTTTCAAACATTATTATTGTTATTTTTATTAAACTCTATATGATCACTATTATTATAATAGATTTTATAACCAACATGAAATTGTACATGAAACAACTGCACCGTATTATCTTGAAATGAATGATAAAGCATAAAGAAAGAATAAAACTCTTGTTGAACTAGTTGTTACTATTATGGTCTAAAATAAGCTCCAAAGCAATAACCTGAAAGTTTGATAACTTAATAATATCGAATGGGTACAAAGAAAATAAAAGTGACAAATGTGTTTACTACAAATCTAAAAAATGACATTTGCACTATCATATGTCTCGATGTAGATGACGTGCTCATATTTGGATTAAATCTTCATGTCATTTATGATGTGAAATCACTATTTTGCAACAACTTTGATATGAAGAACATTAGAGTAGCCATTGTGATTCTTGGAACTAAGATCACTAGTTCTGAGAAGGAAATGTCTTTGGATCAATTTCAATATGTAGAGAAGATCTTAAAGAAATATATTTATTTTGACTTTATACCTTCTTGCACATTACAATTCTAGTATTAAACTATTTAAGAACACTGTTAATGAAAATGAGTATGAGATTATCATTGGCAGTCATAGATATGTCACTGATTGTATTAGATCCAACATTGCATATGTCGTAGAATTCTTATATAGGTTTACGAGTATACCAAGTAATAATCATTGGCAAGCCATTGATAGAGTCACGTGATACCTTAAAAGGACCATGAATTTTGGCCTACATTATTAGAGATTTCCTAACGTACTTGATGGGTACACTGATGGAAATTGGAACACTTTATCAAATGATTCCAAAGTAAGTAACGGATATATATTCGATATGGCTGGATGACTTGTATTTTAGAAATCAAAGAAATAGACTATCATGGCTTAGTCCACAATGGAGTCTGAAATAATAACATTAGCAACTGTTAGTGAAGAAGTAAGTTGGCTAAGATGCTTGCTATATGAGATTTCTGTATGAAAAAAACTTATGTCAGTTGTGTTGATCCACAACGATAGTACCGCGACTATTTCAAAAAATTGAGAACCATTATGATAACAATAAGAGATGTCAAATAATAAGAAAGTGCAACACTGTTAGAGACGATATCTCTAAAGGATTTGTAAGAGTGGGCCATATAAGCACTGATAGAAATTTCACAAATCGTTTGACGAAAGGATTAGGTAAAGAGAAAGTTCATAATACATCCAAAAATATGTGATTAATGCCCTTAGAGAAGTGTGTTTCTCATTATGGTAACTAGGCCTAATAGACTAGAGATCCTAAAAAATAGGTTTAATGAGTAATAACAAATTACGAGTAATATGAGACAATCATGCTAGTACAAATAAGAGAAGCATGAATCTTAAAGCGATACGAAGATGAGATAATTATAACTCTTAATGAGATCTATATTGTATGAGGGAGTACCTAGCTATAGGTGTAGTCTTGATAGACTCTCTTGTGTGATTAAGGCAATTTCTATGGAATTTTGAGACAAGTTTTCTAGAGCCTTCACTAAACTGTGATAGACGTGCTGTCCATTAAACCACATGTTTATTTCATATTTGATGTCAGAGACAGAGTTCAAGACAATTGTGTCACTCTTGTTGAATTAAAATCCTACATGCTACGAAAAGGTTCAAGTTGTAGACACTTGTGTTTATACACAATCTTAGAAACGTTTAATGTTACTTCTAAAATACTTCTTTTAAATTCAATGAGGGATTGTTGGAACATGTCAATATTTCAATATGGAGATGAATTTAAAATTTTTCAAAGTCTCACATTGTTAGAAAACTCTAAGTCCCACAATGCTTATATTACATATCTTTCCTAACATGCTTTATTATATAAGGAAGGCACATGTTTCATTGCAAAATACACAAAAATAAAAGTTGTTTTGAGTTTTTTTTTCTTGACTCTCTTAACTCTGCGTTTTTTTGAATTGTCAAAGTGTTAACTTTTCTCATTTCTTTTTAATCGTTGAATTTTTCGAATATATTTTTAATTCTCTTTAAAAAATTATTTAAAATTTTTCTTATTTGAGTTGAGAAATTATCAAATATTACTTTTTAGATTATTTGTGTAGAATTATTTGAATTTCTTCTTGATTAATAAATTATTGAATGATCAAGTGATCTTTATTAAAATTTCTTTTAGAATTATTTAAATTTTTCATTATTTGAGAAAATATTACGATTAGTCTATCTACTAAATACTAGATATATTTATATCATATTTGAGTTTCTAAATTGATTTTCTACTATGGAAATAATAATCATGTAATATAAAACTAAATTTATCTTAGAGGTATTGTGATTGAGTGATTTATTTCCACAAATTTAAATAGGACATTAAAACATTTTAAAGATAGACTTAATCTGCCTCGATCCGATAATTTTAATTTTTCAAAATTCTAAAACAAAAATGTGAATATAATAATAAATTAAAAGGATACTCTTGAACAAATGGCAGTAGCTGCTTGTAGTTGCTGTATCTTGTATCTACGTGGCTCTTGATCCAAAAATTATTAGTTATTTATAGTATGACGAAGATTATTCATTAGTATTAAACTCGTGGATGGACCATGGTAATACTACATATACATAATACTATATTGTCTCGTTGTGACCTTAAATGTTTTTTTTATTATCATTATTATTACGTAAAGTTGTTAATAAGTTAGAGTACAAGAGGCGCTATCACTCACCCACCTCTTCTTCTTACTTTCTCTCTCCAATTTCTCGGTGGACTCTGTTTCTTCTTCTTCTTCTTCAACTCTCCTATGGTATGTTCTCTGTTTCTCATCTCTTTTAGTCTCTCGGTACGCGTGTATCTGTCCAATACCATGATGATTCATGCTTGTTTTGTGTCAATTTATGAACTTGATTCTTGTGGCGGTTGTTTCCGGCGGCAAGTTAGGGTGGTTTCAGTTTTGTCACGGCCAAATAAGTGGATACTTTACTACTTTATTTTTTTATTGTATGTGAACGTGCCAGCTAAGCACGCATTATAATAAAATATATACGTGTTTCTTTGTTTCTAACTAGTTTTATACTACTCCTCGTGGCACACGTGAACATCGAATATTACACACGTTCTATTTTTATTTTTAATTCCGTATCACATTTATTTTATTCGCATTGTGGGTCGACGAGGGGATTCATTTATGATATAATGATATAAACTATTACTGTTCTATTGGGTTTTTTTTTTTTTGGGTAGAATCTTCAATAATACTTTTCTTGAAGTGAAAATCCATATTTTTTTTAATTACATGATAAGAAGCTGTAGAAACTAATTTAAGCTGGCTGTTACATTGTAAAAGGCAGCAGAAGGAAAGAAGCAACCAATAATTGTTTTGACCAAGCCATTCTCATTGGAAATTGAATCGGATTCTGAGCCGAGTTACAGTTACAGAGCCCCTAATATTGTACGCCGCTTGTTAAGTTTATTTAAGAATATACGGCCCGGAGCAGATCTCACTAACTTACAGGTAACTACTACTTCCCTCTTTAACATACAAGTGTATGTTCGGATTTACAGTGAATTTTGCGGTCATACTGTGATTTCGTGCATATAGTCCTATGAAACGCTGACACGTGTTGGACACCGGACACATCTTTGTTTGGAGGTGTCGATACATTAATATTTCTGACTACATGGAGTATCACATAGATCGATTTTTTTTGTTTGTTTTGGTGATCATATTTTCATAGATAATTGATTAAAGTGTTTTAGCTCGTTTTTATGTGCAGCTTCCGCCTCTATTTTATTTCCCAAAATCACAACTTCAATGCTATGGTGAATCAGTATATAGCACAACTTCAAATTCAAACTTGCTGGCCAAATGCAACAACGAGCAAAGTCCATTGGAAAGGCTCACATCTGTCGTAGCATGGAGCATATCTACCACGCGTCCTACGTCTTTTGGTGTTGCTCCGTATAATCCCATTCTTGGAGAGACACACCATGTTTCAAAGGGCAACCTTAATGTACTACTTGAGCAAGTTTCCATCAATCCTCCGGTATCTGCTCTTCACGCAACAGATGAAAAGGAAAACATTGAAATGATATGGTCACAACAACCTGCTCCAAAGTTTCGCGGTATCTCCAAAATCACAACACAATCCTAATCTAAGAAGAATAATTATACGATAAGGTTTTAATCCTTTGAGTAAATTTGATATTGTAAATATCATTCTGTTGCTTCAGGTACAAGCATTGAAGCTGAAGTGCATGGAAAACGGGTGCTAAAGCTTAGAAATCACGGGGAAACATACGAAATGAACTGTCCTCGCCTCTCTATTAGAATTCTTCCGTTTCCCGGAGTTAGTTGGGTTGGCAATGTTAATATACTGTGCAAAGAGACAGGTCTTGTGGCTGAATTGTCCTACAAATCATCCTTTTCTTTTCTTGGACTTGGAGGGAATAGTAAGTTGGTCCAAGGGAAGATCCTTGATTCCTCATCATTTAGTGTGCTATATGAAATTGATGGTCAATGGGATAGGTACATACTTTTCATTCACTTTTCATTTTACTTATGCTACAAGTTTTAGAGTCATTTTTCTTATGAAATTTCATGTGTATTAGGACTGTCAAAGTAAAGGATACAAACAGTGGGAAAGTCAAAGTGATATATGATGCAAAAGAAGTAATTTCAGGGCTCAAAGCTCCTATTGTCAAAGATGCAGAGGTAATTAACAAACAAAGAATATTTTTGATTTTTTTGTTTGTTTTTTAAAACTTGGTATCTGGTCATGAGACTTTCTACTGTCCATTAGCCGGAGTCCATTTAAAGACAGAGCATGGACTGACTCAACATAAGAATTATTTATATTTAGTGGAATTCGTTCACGAGACTTGAAATCTTGAAAGGAGCACACTCTCGGGTCCTTGACCAACAAGGCAACTCTTGGGGTTAACATTTATATTGTTAAAACAACAAAATTGATATATGTTTTGTTGTAAATTGTAATGAGCTGAGATTCTTTTGTTCTTTAGGGTGTGTGGGAAACTGAATCAGCCCTTATTTGGGGTGAGTTGACCCAAGCCATTATAAGCAATGATTGGGAGAAAGCAAAAGAAGCAAAGCAAGGTGTGGAGGAAAGACAAAAGAAGATGTTGAAAGAAAGAGAGAGCAAAGGGGAAAGTTGGACTCCTAAGAATTTTGTGGTGTCTTATAGTAATGAAAGTGGGTTGGAGTGTGATTGTTCACCCATTAACAAATGGGTCCCTCCTGCTCCTATCACAGCCCTTTAATTGTGTACTTAGCTTGGGGATTACTTTTTAATAATTGATACACATGAAAGTTCAATTATATTTTCTTAGAGTAAAATAGTTTCTTTGAATTGCTATAACACAAAGGACAGTACAATCTCAATGATAACATACCACCTAAACAAGTAACAACACATCAGCAATATAACAAAAAATGTACAAATATTGAAACCAGTCTAAATCAATGAAACCAGTCAAAATGCATTATTTAGACATCTCAATATTCTCAGAGCTGCTTGAAAATGTGAGTAAGTTGGTTTTGATAAAATCTGACTTAACCTGCATAGTAGAAGTTAATATGGGGGGCGTGAATGAGTTAACCACAAGAGCTTATCAATCATGCTTTTGAATATGGTTGGATCAGAAGTTTCACCATTCTCCTAATGACAGGATCCATGAGAGTGAATGTTGATTTTTGTTACATGAGTTGAGAGTGTACTTTCATTGACATAGGGATATTCTTTGGGTGAATATGGTTATCTCAATTCAAAAAGTATTAGAGGTACTCTAAATCTTTAATTCATAAGTTAGTATCTGCCGCAACTGCGAAAAACATCCGGCGGAAAAACAGAAGAGTCGCCACCGAACGTTATTTATCTCGAAGAGAGAGAAAGGAAACGATAGAAGAAAACCTAAAAGAACAGGAGAAGACAAGGTCATCGCAACCAAATCTTGGGTTCGGGAGTCGGTTACGCAAGGGGAAGGTATTAGCACCCCTCACGTGCGTTGTACTCAACGGAATACATGCTTGTTGTCTAATCAAAGGGTGTGTTTATCTATAAGCTACTACTAAACGGAAACAAGAACAAAAGAAAAAAGAAAGAAACTCGATAGGACATTGTCGCCCTATGCCTACGTATTCCCTCATGCAATGGAAAAGTCAAAGTCAACGTAATTCGGAAAACTACGGGTGATGGGGGAAGGTTGCTCGCCAAGACATCGTCGTCTTATGCCTACATATTCTCATTTGGTACGAGAAATCAGAGCAAACGTAGTTCGGACCAACGAAACCACAAGTTGGTTAAGTGTTTTTTACGAGTGACGTTAAGTTCCCATTACAGCAGTTAGGGACGATGTCTGTTTGCGGTAGAACGAAAAAGTAACGTACTCTTTTCTGAAAATGAATTCGAAACACAAATCCCGAAGGATAAAAGGGTTTGAGTTTTGTTTGTGAGTTTTAGTGAAGTGAATTGAGTTTGATTTGTGATTCACGTTGCACTAAAGACTATGACATAAGAGCGAATGTGTCGCATATCGCCCAAAGGGCATACACTAAACACATTAGACAAGTGAGAAGAAACCCCCCACTCATCATTTCCCACGTACTTAATGCTCGTAGCGCACAACGTTCGTCGTATTTATTACATGAGTTAGAAGGTGTTTTGAGATGAGAAGAGAGACGCACGGAAGGTCTAAGGGAAACACGATCCTAACGTTGTCATATAAAGTGGTCCTAAGGTCGGGATGCGAAAGAAGATTCTATCTTAATGTTAGCATGCAAGAGATGGATCTAAGGTTGAGATTTAAAGGGACTAGCCTACTTGTTATCATGCATGGATTAAGCTTTTAATGTGTATCCTACTCCAAATTTAATTGGAAATTTAATTGGAATAAGAATCCTAAGGGAGCATGCAAAGACAAGGCAAAAAGCAAGAAAACAAGGTAAAAACAACAGCTACAACAACGCCTCTTGCATAAGACAACAATAAAATCCAGCACACAAGCAAGACAACATATAACATCACATGTTTCAGCACAAAACCAAGTGTGAAAAGTCAGGCAGCAAGCAAGTAAGGCAAAAACAGCATGCAAGTTCAAAAAATGGACAACTGTGGAAAGTATGGAGCAAGTAAACTTGAATGAAATTAATCAAATGCAAATAAAAATCATGGATAGACATCACACAAGTATGAACATGCTTCACCAATCAAACATAATCAATCAACAATGTATCATACAAGAATCATTCATCAAGGAAACAACATTAACATGTTAAGCGCTCAAAATAGAAACCAAAAGTTACGCGCCGAAGAATCGAGATCGAACATTCAAGAATGATGAAATACGTCAAAAACAAATCAAATAAATGCATCATATCAATCCATGAGGTTTACATGTGAAAAGGAGCTCAAACAAACAAAAAATGCAAAAAATGCAAAAAATAGGCAATCTGCCTAGAGTAATGGGTTACCCTATATAAGATTACGAGTTATCTGATGGGATACGGTAACCGGTTACCCTATATAAGATAACCAGTTACTTCATGAAAAATAGCCTAGTAACGTGAAATTTGATAAGTTAACCGGTTACCCTATATAAGGTAACCGATTACCACTGAGCAGAAACCAGAAAATCAGTTTTCAGCATCAAACAACTTATCCAATCACTCATATGAACATGATATCAATCGAGCACGAAATTATCATCAAGAAATAGTGATCAAGCATCATGTAAACACAATCACACATTAAAATCACAAATCACCAAGATCCAAATCATCAAAATGGATCAAAAAGTAACAAAAGTCATGAATCTACATTGTGATTATTCAAATAAGCTCAAAATTGGATTAGATCTAGAATTCACCAACCTTCAAAGCTGAGATTTGCTTTGGTATGTGTTGATTCACTTAAAATTAGCAGATCCAAGCAAGAAACCCAGAGATTCTTCAAGATCCAAGAGCTTCCTTGTGGTAGAAATGAAGATCAAGCAAGATCAAACAAAACAATCCAAAAAAATCACTTCCAATCTAGCTTCCAAATTTAGATCCAAAACCGAACGAAAATTGAATGGTGAATTGAAGATAATGAAGATGAATGATGGAGATTTAGCTCTAGAATTCTATGATTCCAAGGAAGAATCAAAGAACTCAAGTGAAAAAGCTTTAATGGAGGTTTTGGGAGTGAAAAAGTGGAGAGAAAAACGAGAGCAAATTCTCAAGAATGAGAGTGAAATCTGAAAAATGAAGGTAATTTGTGTGAGGTTTGGAGAAAATTCACTTAAATAAGATCTAGGTTTGGAATCAAAATGTGGTTAGGAGTGTGGATTAGCATTTGGAATGAAAATTAGGAGTGGAATTAGGAATGAAGTGTTTGAAATTTGGAGGGAAATGGTGAAAATTGAAGCAATTCTAGATCCTTCCAAATATGGTCAAGTGAAATCAATGGTTGAGAATGATTGGAAATTGCACATGCTGAAAATTTGAATTTCTTGGCAAACTGCGCTTGAAGTAACCGGTTATCCTATATGCAGTAATCGATTACCATATTCAAAAAATGTCAATTTTGGCGCCATGTGGAGGGAGTGAGATTTAAGTGGAATACCATGTTGTCATGCTATTGCATGCATATGGATTAACAAGAAGGAGCCCGAAAATTATGTTTCATTATACTATAGGTATCACCTACTCATATATTATGTTCACTTACTAACAACTATTTTGCACACTTACTAAAGCATCATGTTATTTTGTATAAGAAGTCTACTATGCTGGCTACTTATAGCCATATTATTATACCAACCAATGGCCCACAACTATAGCCTATTAATGTTGCTCACCCAATCAACCCTCCAGTTATGGGAAGATCTATCGGTCATCTAAAGAATAATCGTAACAAGGTGAATGATGGACCGAGGACAAGAAATACACTGTCTAGAACTCTTCAAACTATCAAGTGCAAGAAATGCAATAATTTTGGCCATAACAAGCGAACGTGTAAAGGGAAGCGATCTGCGGAGAGAGTGATTCCTAAAGATGGCAACAAAAAAGTGGGAAAAAATGGTGATAAGTCGAGCAAAGAAGTGAGACAAATTATTATAGATGGATGGTCGCAAGCACCGCCACCAACTCAAGAATAGTTCTATGTTTAAGTTTGCTTTTTGTTATGTTGATGAAGTTTGTAATGACCAAACACTTAAGGTCATTTTGTTTATGTACTGACCAAACACTAAATGTCTGCTTGTTTTGTTATGCTAGTGTAGCATATGTAATGACCAAAACACTCGAGGTCTTTTTGACTTAGTTATGTTGCTTGTAGCATCTGTAATGACCAAAACACTCAAGGTCTTTTTGGTTTAGTTATGCTGCTTGTTTTCTTATGTTGCTTGTTTTGTTATGCGGTTGAAGCTTATGTAATGACCAAAACACTCAAGGTTTTGTTGACTTGTAGTTACGCTGAATTGTATGACAAGAAAATTACTTCATTGTTATGTTAAATTTTTTACTTGTATTTATGTTGAATTGTAACATTATTTCATTTGATATAATATAGACAAATAGGGATGGAAATGACCAGTGTTTGGGCAGGGTACTATAGTACCCATCCCCATACTTGCGATTTGAAAAAATCCTTGTATCCGAGCCTATACAAGCTTGGACACCAAAGTTAGCACCCGTACCCTAACCCTATGGATATGTAAGTACCCATACCCGTACCTGTTACCCACATTCTTATTAAAAATAAATATATCAATTATAAAATATCATATCATTTTAAGTTTTTAAAAGCATTAAAAAATTTTCAAAAAAATTTATTATTGAAATAAATGAACACTCATGTTAAACATGTAATGATTTAACATTAATATACTTATTAAAATTGATAGTCATATATTTTTATATAATAATATAAATTAAAATATATAAATATAAATTAAAATACATAAATATATTATGCGGGTATGAGGCGGGGTGAGTACGAAGGTGTCCGTACCCGCACCCATACCCACTTATTTTTGTGGGTAATTATCTGAGCTCGTACTCGTACTCAGTTTTGCAGGTTTTTACCCTACACATTATGGATAATTTTGCGGGTGGCTATTGAGGATGAGTCAAATTGTCATCCCTATAGACAAATCTGGCATATAATTACTTTAGGGTTATCCAAATACATAGAAAACTACTTCATTTGTAACATTATGCTGAATTGTAACATTATGAAAATACTCGAAGAAAACTACTTCATTTGAAAATACATAAATTG